CGGCTCTAGAGAAGGAAGTCAAGCGCTCTTGCAGACGGGACAAGCGAGCGTGGATGAACTCCCTGGCCGACGAAGGGGATAAAGCCGCAAACACTGGCGATATACGCCTCCTCCACGAATCTCACGACGCCTGAGTGGAGCAAGGATGAACCCGAGGATGCCAGTGAAGGACACGACTGGACAGTTGCTTACCGACCCCATTGAACAGCTGAAACGCTGGTTTGAGCACTTCGAACAACTTCTTCAAGTTTCGACGGCCAACTAGCCATCAACATCTCGGCATGATCCGCTTAGGGTGCGGCGCATCACTTGCGTCAATTCCGAGGCCCCATCACTGCAGGAGATTGAAGCAGCTATCCGAAGCATGAAATTCAACAAGGCTCCAGGGGTCGATCGCATATCAGCAGAGATGCTCAAAGCTGACCCAATGCTATCCGCACAAATGTTGCATCAATTATTCTGTAATATTATTATTATTATTATTATTATTATTATTATTTAATTTTATTCATCGGACTATTGTCTACATGAAACAACCTTTAAGCTAAAACAATTCAAGTGTTTCTAATCCGTGCCAAAAAGCGAGATGAAGATTCCCCAAATTCGAATAATTCTTCGACAGCCCTAAACGTACGCATCATAGTTGTTAGTGGTTCGTTGTAACCGAACGCCGTTTGATGGTACCGCGGTTGGAGAAGGGTACCACCTCTTAATGCTCTCGGTGGTACTCGGATATCCAACAGCGAGAAAAGCCTCGAGCAGTCGACCTCACCATTCAATAGCTTGGCAACAAAAACTGTTTGCTGATTTTTCCGTCGGCATTCCAGAGTATCCAAGCTCAGCAGATTGCGGCGATCAGAATACGGCGGGAGATTTTGCGGATCACCCCATGGTAGATTACGTAATGCTATCCTGATAAACTTGCGCTGAACACTTTCGATCCTCAAGCTCCAAATCAACTGATGAGGAAACCAGACCAAGGAGGCATTTTCCAGGATTGGTCGCACAAGTGAGCAATAGAGAGCTTTCAGGCAGTGTGGGTCAACGAAGTCCTTCGATATTTTCGACACAAAACCTAGCTGGCGATTGTGATCAGAGCAGAGCGGTGGAGGTTGAACGTCAACTTATGGTCCAGTAGAACACCAAGATCGCTGAACTGGTCGGTTCTTTGAAGAACCACACCGTTGATGGCATAGTCAAAAACAATCGGCTGCCTGATGCGGTAATACGACATTACCATACATTTAGGAATGCTGAGGGTAAGCTTATTCCGACGACACCAATCAACGAACAGATCCAATACCGATTGAAGACGAATGCAATCCTCAGCAGTCCGCACCACGAAGTACAGCTTTAGGTCATCGGCATACGCAAGCTTACAGCCATCTCCAATTAGAAGAAATGCGTCGTTGATGTACAACACAAACAGCTACGGGCCAAGATTGCTACCCTGTGGTACACCTGACGAGTTCGTGAAATACGAGGAAGTACTGGAATCGAGTTTCACTCACAGAGACCTGTCAGTCAAGTAGGAGCACAACCACGAAGTCAAACGGTCCGACGCACCGAGTTTGGATAGCTTTGCCAACATAATGTCATGGTTGATCGTATCAAACGCTGCTTTTAGATCAGTGTAGATGACGTCTATTTGTGCCCCATTTTCCAGTTGCTCAAAACATGTCGTGGTAAAATCTAGAAGATTTGTGGTAACCGATCGTCCAGGCATGAAGCCATGTTGGTCACTAGAGATATAGCAGTTGGTGTGCTCAAGAATGAAACCACTCACAATTATCTCAAACAGTTTTGATGCTGCAGAGAAATTAGTAATTCCTCTGTAGTTTTTAACGTCACGTTTATTTCCTTTCTTGTGTACCGGAACCATAAATGACTCTTTCCAGATTGCAGGAAATTTCGACTCTACAAAAGATTTGTTGAAGATATCTGGGACACCGCGACTTATCCGGCCGACTGGATGCAGGGCATCTTAGTGAAGGTCCCAAAGAAGGGGGATCTGACAATTGGCGAGGCATCATGTTACTGTGTATTGTCCTCAAAGTTCTGTGCCAAGTTATCCTGAATCGGATACAGGAGAAGATCGACGTGACTCTCCGACAGCAAAACAGGCAGGATTCCGTGCCGGAAGATCTTGTGTGGACCATATTGTCACGCTCCGCATCATCTTGGAGCAGGTCAATGAATTCCAAGAGTCCCTTTATTTGGTATTCATTGACTACGAAAAACCTTTCGACCGTCTCAATAACGAGAATCTGTGGGATGCCCTGAGACGCAAGGGAGTCCCGGATAAAATCGTCAACCTCATCGAAGCGCAGTATGAGGCTTACACGTGCAGAGTTCTGCATAACGGAGCCTTGTACGACCCTATCCGGGTAGTCGCTGGTGTGAGACAAGAATGTATACCGCTACTGTTTCTCATCGTAATCGACGAGATCATGGTAGGTGCAATTGACCGTGTACCGAACCGTGGGCTGCTTTGGCAGCCTATCACCATGGAGCATCTCAACGACTTCGATTTGGCTGATGATGTTGCTCTACTAGCAAAATGGCGCTCTGATATGCAGAGTAAACTCAATGACCTAGCCGAACACTCCTCTGCGGCGGGTCTCACCATCAACGTCAACAAGACCAAATCGTTGCGGGCAACCCAAGCCAAATAGCGTCGGACGGCGGGACCAAGAGAGACATAGGTGCACGAATCAAGAAGGCTAGGACTGCCTTTGCGAGTTTACGAAACGTATGGAGATCCAACCGCACCAAAAAACGAATTTTCAACTCGAACGTGAAATCTGTGTTGTTATACGCCAGCGAGACGTGGTGTGTATCAGCGGAGAGCACTCAAAAGCTGCAGGTCTTCATCAACCGATGCCTGCGGTATATTATTCGTGCCTGGTAACCTCACAACTGAATCTCGAATGCCAAGCTCCATCGTCGATGTCATCAGAAGCCGATAGCAACAGAAATTCGAGAGCGAAAGTGGAGGTTGGTAGGCCACACACTTTGACGGGGCGGAAACGAAATCTGCAAGCAAGCGCTGGATTGGAATCGGGCAGGACATCGCAGCAGAGGCAGACCCAGAGGCTCATGGCGGCGGAGCCTCAACAAGGAAATTAAGAAAGTCGATAGGACTCTGACCTGGGCCCAGGTCAAGGCAAAAGCGAGCAGCCGCCCAGGATGGAAGTCTTTCACGTTGGTCCTTTGCACCGCTGGTGGTGCACAGGACCCTTAAGTAAGTAAGTAAGCCCTAGATGGCTGCCCTGCGGCCAGGTATGTAGGTTTGACCGTAACCACCTTATTAGCCAGTTAGGAAATCCCAAACTTTCGGGCGGTACACGTAAATACTGTCAACTTGGCAGCGCTTTTCCAAACTTGAGTTTAGCGTGCTAGCGTATGCCATCAGATTCATAACTGTAGAACGATTCTTCACAAAGCCTCCTCAGCAGCAAACAATGCATAACTTTGATTTGGATGACAAGTTTAAAATCGTCAGCATAAGACAGCTTCAGACAACGGATACAAAAGTGAACGTCATTCAGATACAATAAAAATATGAACGGTCCCAGATGACTGCATTGAGGTACATCAGAAGAAACAGTGAACGATTGAGAAATATGATCTCCTATCTTCACTGACATATGTCGACCGGTGAGGTATGAGCGAAGCTTATCAAGAAGGGAACCGTGAAAGCCAAGTCGCTCTAGTTTCTCCTGATTGATTTTATGAAATCAAATATTATAAATTAACAATATGGTCCACTTCCAGAAATGTTTCTGAAAAGACGCATAAGTAATACCATAGAGGTAACTCTAAGACCAGAAGGTCCCGAAGAAACGTGCTCAACTTTTTGGCTCAGCTCTGGTACTCTCTTCGGTCCCAAGCTAATCGATGCGCCCCTCTAAACATAGGGAAACCCACGAACCCCTCATTTTATCTGTCAAACGCTTATAGATGTACTTGGGACCAATAGGCTAATCAAGTAGTGAGCCAATTTTGAATCGTTAGATTTCAACCGGTGAGAAAGGCGACTAAAAACATTCGTGGCTTATAATTTAAGCGTGTAATCAATTCATAAGTTTAGTATTAGCTTTCTCATGAATTTTACATGCCTACCCTGACGTCATGACATTGTACTACGTTCAGATTATAGTTGATATTAATAACGTAATGTAATATGATATCAAAAGTGTTTAAATTACGTGATATCTTTGAATGAACTATAAGCTTAGAGGTGAACCAAACAAATAAAATAAAATGCAGATTATATCTGTCATCTCTCTGTACATACCACATTGGCAACTGACAAGAAGAAAACTTTCAAACACGCTAAGAATTGTTAACCCAAATTTAGCTGCTTCCATATCAAAACCCCATTCTTTTTCATAAAGTTCATGGCACACAGCCTTAAGTATTGCTTGTATATTAGAATCGAAAAAAACACTAAAACGAGGAAAAATTAACTCGACCTTGAGGTTCTATGATGAAGAAACTCCTGAGAAGTTAGTAGAAGGTAAGGCAACACATATTAGACATGGTTATGTTTAAGCTTCCACTCGTAAGTCGCTGCACTAACTGGTCTTGAAATAGCTAATGAGTTTCTCCTCTGTCATTGGCATTCGTTTGATTCGAAATTAGGTTAAAAGCTACATTGCGTAACCACATTAGTTTTTTGTATGGGTTACCAAACGATGATCGAAACCGATTAAAAGTTTAATTGACGTCTCATTTCCACTAGTTATTCAGCCGGTTTGAAGCCGCACTTTGTGTTTTTATTGTGTCCGAAAGCGTGAAAAACCGGCCCAACATTGAAATTGAGCTTTGTGTGGTGCGGTGCACTGAAAACTTCTTACGATCTCACATCGCTGCTATTTCACCATGCAAACGAAGGTAATAACTAAAACGAGCTCATTAGCACTCTCAGCATATTTTGATCAAACGTAACCTTGTATCACATCTGCATTTCGCACGTTCAACTTTCCGTTACTCACATTATCGTTGAGAGCCATTGTGAATAAATCTGTTCCAGCAAATTCCCACTCACAGAACGATTCTGCGCCGGATTTTTGTTAGTTTTCTCAATGCAGGAATAACTTTCACTCGAATATTTAAGTGCGGCCAGAAAAAGTACTTCTATGACTTCTCTCGCCCAATCGCTGCAGTCTAAAACCGTTGACGGGAAGCAAAAAACTTTATCCAGATTTTGACCAGCTAAACTGTTGGTAGGTAGGCGCGACGAAAATCCAACGTGCGAATAAGTTGAGATCGGAATACAAACTGAGTTGAGCTTGACTAGTTGAAATGTTAAATTAAGGGTTTTTTTGTTCACCACTTCAAACTCAAGCCAAGCTCGCCTCCCACCATTTATGTGGATTGCAGGTTGAAAGATTTGCGTGAACGTTGGTGGAAGCATAAAGAAAAACCCCCAGCCACTGCGCCACATAAAGAGCCTACACTGCTGACCAGACCAACGAACGCAGTTGAGCGGGCTCAACGAATATTTCGAAACGCCACTGAAAATGTGATGGTTCTCTTTGTAGACGTGGGGATGGCCAGGTCTGTAGGTGCTTGTGACTAGCAACTAAAACCAACTAGCGTAGGCAATTTCAGCTTATAGGGAGCTTCAAATTTTGAATCAACAACAAAGATTTTGATTTCTTTTGAATAGCATCATTTAACCAGGATCTGTTGGAAGTTTCAGCTCCATCAGCGTTTATGTTACTATTCTGCCAATCATTGATTGGGGCGAATTAAACACTCTGCCGGTCGCTCTCGTATACTAATCAACTACAAGAATTCCCCAAATACCGCGGTTGATGGTGCAGTTCACCCACCGCTGTTTCTCGGCAGTCCTCCACCTAATTGAGCTGAATTTTTGATTGTGATTAGTGTCAACCATATACTACCCTAATAGAAAAATACCATACCCGAACAACAACCCAAATGATATAACTATTAAACACATGGTTCAATAGTTATGGATGCTACCATGATGACATCGGTAAGAAAAATAACCATATAAATTTTATTAGGGTAGTCACCTACAAAAAAACAGCTAATTTGGTGGGAGGACAGCAGAGAAATAGCAGACTGCACCACCCACCACGATATTCGGGGGATTTCTGTATACAAATAAGCATAGATGCATAGCATAGTGGTTTAAATTATCAATGTTACACCCCAGAAGCAAAACTAAAATATTAATATCAATCAATATCGGAATATTTCATGATGTGAATCGATAGTTGTCGTACAATTGGGTGTCCCTGAAAATATAAGCACAGTTTATTATTGAAATAAAACAACGCTATGTTAATGTACTCAAATTTTTATTTCATATATATGTTTTCTATACACGGCACTTCAATCATGTCGAAAACCTAATGTAATTTTTATGGCCACAAAATTAAACAAATGCAGTAAAAGCAGCGTAATGTCAGTTCATGCACTGTATTAATGATAATTTTGTCCTTTTTGGCATGTAATATTGCACCATATTTTTAACACGATTCAAGTCACTTTTAAGTGATAACAAAATTATTTTGTTGTTGTGTAGTATTCTCTTTCAATTAGATGAAAATAATCCGCAGTTCTTATAATACTATGCCGGCGCAAACTTCTGATCTGACGATGCCCATGAGCTTCAGCACAGATTCCTTGGCAATAATTTTGGCCTCTTTTGTTGAGTCTATGTCAAATTCTTCGATTGAATCCGCTGCCTTATAGTGTTCCGTAGATATTTCTTGGAAATGGTCCAAAAAGTTTCGATTGACCGGACCTCCGGACAATTCGGAGGATTCATCTTTTTTGGCACGCATTGCACATTGTTTGCTTTGTACTAAGCAACCGTGTCTTTCGAGTAATGCATTGATACCGAATCAGACCAATATACAGTGCTTTTCCGATTTTATCAGCTCAAGGATTTTGCAAATTGTGTCAGTTTTTTCCCGATTTTGTCAGCCTGAAGATTTTGCTGAACTTTTTGGTTTTTAAGCATGAATTCGCAAGCATTTTGCTCCAAATGACACTTAATTGTGTGGTCGCAACAATAACAGAGGTAACTCAAATAAACCTCAATCATTGCGACCAGTGTTCGGGAAAACTCAAAAACTCAAATCTCATATGTATGAGTTTATGCGCCTATGAGTTTTGCCTTGCAAAATTCAACGTCGCTAAAATCACCGATGAGTTTTCAGGTTCAAAAATTCATTGCTTTATATTTTGGCGTTATTCATTGTTATTACTATTGCCTGTGGACCAGGGGTTGGAAAACTAATACAACATGCATAGGCATGATATCAATTGACGTTTCAGTGGTTTTTATGAGTTTAAAGCTGGAATGATTTTTTGACGTTGTGAGTATGAGTGCGTGAATCTAAACCCATGCAAAATGGGTATCTGCGAAATGGGCTCGATAAGTGGAAGTGCAAAATTGACATCCGCCGCCATTGTGGAATCCAAGATGGTGGACCAAATTCTTATAGGTGGCCTCGGACAGGTAATATGCATTCAAACACATGCATATGGGTATCTGCCGAATACGCACGATGAGGGGTAGTTCAAAATTTACATCCGCTGCCATTTTGGAATCAAATATGGCGGACCAAAATCCAATATGGCGGCCCCCGGACAGGGAATATTCATCTAAACCCATGCAATATGGGTATCTGCGAAATGGGCTCGATAAGTGGAAGTGCAAAATTTACATCCGCCGCCATTTTGAAATCCAATATGGTGGACCAAAATCCAATATGGTGGCCCCCGGACTAGGAATATGCATCTAAACCCATGCAATATGGGTATCTACGGAATGAGCTCAATGAGTGGAAATAAAAAATTGACATCCGCCGCCATTTTGGAATCCAATATGGCGGATCAACATCTAATATGGCGGCCCGGACAAGGAATAAGCATTTAAACCCATGCAATATGGGTATCTATGGAATGAGTTCGATTAGGGGAAGAGGAAAATTGACATCCGCTGCCATACAATCTGGCGGACCAAAATCCAAAATCCATATTGCATAGGTTTAGAAGAATATTACCTGTCCAGGGGCCGCCATATTGGATTTTGTTCCACCATATTGTATTCAAAAATGGCGGCGAATGTCAATTTTCCGCTGTCCCTCATGAAGCCCATGCCGTAGATACCCATATTGTATGGGTTTAGATGCATATTCCTAGTTCGGGGGCCACCATGTTGGATTTTGGTCTGCCATATTGGATTCCAAAATGACAGCGGATGTCAATTTTCCACTTCCACTTATCGAGCCCATTTCGTAGATACCGATATTACATGGGTTTAGATGCATATTCCTTGTCCGGGGGCCGCCATATTGGATTTTGGTCGGCCATATTGGATTTTGGTCCACCATGTTGGATTCCGAAATGGCGGCGGATGTCATTTTTATACTTTCACGCATCGAGCTCATTCCGTAGATACCCATATTGCATGGGTTTAGATGAATATTCCCTGTCCGGGGGCCGCAATATTGGATTTTGTTCTGCCATTTTGCATTTCAAAATGGCGGCGGATGTCAATTTTTCACTTCCCCTCATCGAGCCCATTCCGCAGATACCCATATTGCATAGGTTTAGATGCATATTCCCTGTCCAAGGGCGGCCATATTGGATTTTGGTCCGCCATCTTGGATTTGTGGGAGCCATCTTGGGTTGAAATCCACCATTTTAATTTCATCCGGAATGTTGACTTGAATTTCGGAATGCCCCAAACTCTAGAATTTCACATATCTTCTAATCATATGATTTTCGATGATTTTGATCTTGGTTGATATTGATGCTGGTTGATTTTGAGAATCGAAAATCACGGCTGATATTGATCGAAAATCACGTGTAATTTTCGTGGTGATGATGGCTTGTGATATTGGTGCCTGTGATTTGAGGAGATCTTGATCTTGAAAGATTGCTGATTTTGATTTTCTGATCTTGATTTTAGCCAACACTGGTTGAAATATTGAAAAAGGAAATTTACCGATTTTGTCGGCTTCTCGTTTTTGTCAGCCTAAAATTTCAGATGCGGTTGACAAAAACGGGAAAGTACTGTAGTACATCATGTTGACGAATCATAGGCCGCAGACGCCGATTCAAACACTCCCGAACGTAGATTTCAGTATTTATCGTCACTTTCGTCACAAATAGCTTTGACAACTTGCCACACTCACATATCGCTTGCCGAACCATGGCCTTCTTACAAAATTTATCGGTAAAAATTGACTTATAACGGGCTGTGTACCGTTCAAATATTTCTTAATTTTAATTGTGACGTAAACATACATTGACATAAACTTGTATTGTAATTGTCATGCCAACGAGCAACTTGTAATATTTTTTGCAAGGATGGGCTTTTGTATACAATATTTACAACATTTCATGAAATGTCTCAGAACTTTACACTATTTAGAATTAAACTTATACGATATGTGACGCTCCATTTATGTGCATCATATTGATCAGAAATTTGCACTACTTTTACAAACTGTATAGTATTGGTCTCCCGAAAGCGACATGTGGTCATATTTGACGTGTGTCCATGGAAACACACGCCAGTTTCCCACACATCAGGCTATCATATAGCTTCCGAGCCCTCGGTTTGACGGATGCGACTTGTTTCTGACTCCGTTTTGGCTTCTTCTGCTTCTTGAAAGTATTCAGCCCGTTCCTTGCCTTGGCACGTTGGACGTTACTCTTTGATGTTCTCATTTGTTTGGCCAAACCTCGAACAGAGGCACTTTTCTTATTGACGAAAGCTTGGGTCATCTTCTGGTCCAGTTTTCGGTCAACCGGTCCTGGTTTACGGCCAGATTTCGGTGTGTTCTCGAAGGTTACTTCTTCACCGAGCTTCCGGAGGGCAGTTTGGACTGCTTCGATACTTTCTTCCAAACTACCTTACTTTAGGTTGGCTTTAGTGCACAATTTGTGCACGATCTGTTTGCGCATTTCGGGGAAATGCCTCACATTTGGATGATTTTTGTTAAAGATATCCGGAGTGATTTGAGATTTGGGCGTAATTGCTTTTGAAAACAAACACGTCAATCACTGATTTCTCTTGAATAAAAGCTCAATCTCAC